TCTTCAGTGTCGGAACATGAAGTCTTATTTTGGGCTGGGAAAGAACAGTGCTGACACCAACAAAGTGCACTTAGGAAAAGTTTACGCACACCCCAAAGGAGACATTGCATGTTCGCCTTGGCAGATATTACAGCAACGTGCACTGCGACCACCAAACAGTGATTTTACTTACTTATTATTTATATTGTGATTTATATCCTGCCTTTTTCCTACAAAGGGCTCAAGGCAGCTTACATCATCTCTTCTCCTCCATCTTATCCCCACAACAACAACCCTGTGAGGTAGGTTGGGCTGAGTCTGTGACTGGCCCAAAGTCACCCAGTGGGCTCCATGGCCGAATGGGGACTAGAACCCAGATCGCCTGAGTCCCAGTCCCAGGCTCTTAACCACTACACCACACTGGCTCTCTTTAAGAACTTTTGCATAATAAACTGAGAAGGTACAAAATTCTGTTTCCTTCCACCAGCTTTACCAATGAACTCTGATCCAGCACAACTGCCAATTCTAGATGGGGTGGACAACAACATAACTGCTTTGAGATTACACCAGAAGTCAATATCTCTATTTTAGAGAATTAAACAGAGGACTGGATCATAATCATACTTAAGAGCAGACCTGCTGAAATTTGCTCAGCAACACAGCTCAGCAACTCAGTGACACACAGTACATGAGACAACCCTTTCCATATCCAGTGAAAAAACAATCAAACAAGGTATACTTAGGAGTCCTACTAAGCTCGATCACCAGAAACCTTGGCTAGCTGCTGCCAATCTGACTTCAGTGCAATAGGTAAATCAACAAATTGATTTGGTGCAAGACAGATTCATTTGCCTGGCTATCATCTGCCTTTCGTAGAAGTACAACAAGGTGAACAGGAAAATGCATTGCTGTTGCTTCTGTTCTGGAATTTTTAATTCAAAATGTGAACAAACTTCAGGTGTCTACTGCAAGATAATGAGGTTCAACCAAAAATTTGCTTTTTTAACAGGGGTGTGGAATAAAGCTGAGTATTTTGTCTTTCAAAGATATCATTCTATACCTGTTATTAAGAGTGAACCATGCATTTTGCAAACTGGCAAAAGAAACAAGCTGCAGCATAGCATAAATGATAAGCTACGGCTTTCATTAAAAAGCACCTTATTGGATTGAGTTGCATTTATGTTAAACATTTCTAAGCTGCTGCTTTATCTGTGCACACAGATGCACAAACAAGTCATGAACAGAGAGATCAAATGGCCTTGAAATCCAAGCTGTCCAGTAATTCCATGACACCCGGATGTAAAGATCAAGTATGCACAAAAGAGGGCAGTCACCCAATGTGAACTGGTCACAAATCAAACCCCTTGCACAAAACTGGTCCTGCAAGTGAATCTGCTATAATGGGAGAAAACATGTAGAGGAGGATGGAGGAAACAGCACCCAGCAACCTGCTTGTGAAGCCAACAGCTAACAAGTGAGGGAGCTGATGAAAGAAAGGCTTTCTCTAGCAATCCTTCACTGTATCACTCTATTGTTAAAAGAATGACCTGAAGGAATCTTTGCACTTGATTTTCCTCTGCTGCTGCATTGGGAATATCTTAAGATTTGCCACATAATTTGCATGTTTGATTTGCATAATCACTTGTTGCATGCCATCAAGTGATCTCCAATTTATGCGGATCCTACGAATGAATGCCCTCCAAGTACGCTGTCCTTCACAGCCCTGCTTAGTTTTTATAAACCCAAGGCTGTGGCTTCTTTGATGGAGTCAATCCATCTCATATTGGGCATGATCCCTTAGGATTTGCAATCTCACAAGCAGTTACAATGTGATGCCACAAAATGCATTCATACCAGCATTGCAAAGTTATCAGAATATTTCTGGAGGCATAAAGTAAGTGTAACAAATATATCCAGTGCCTTTTAGAAGTGCCTGGATATAATTACGGACTCTATCAAGGCTCTTAAATTTTAGCGTTTTATTATATTTTAGTGATTGTTTCATCTTTTAGTGACCAAGTAGTACTTATTACTGAATGATTTTAATCCACCGCATATTTGATGGTGGTTTTAATTCAGCTTGTGTTTTAATTTGCTGCTTTTTCAATTTTGTCATGGTAAGTATTTTGTTTACATTGCTTCATTCCCTTACTATGAGTCCCCTGGGGAATGTTTTTCAAATTGAAAAGCAGAGTTTATATACGCCAAAAGACTGGCTTGACCTGTAAAAGATACCTTTTGGTTGCTCTGCTTTAGTAATGGTCTCAAGAAGTTAATTGGCAAAGTTGCCAACATTTTATTGGCATTGGCCAAGATCCAAAAAGATTTTATTACCAGCATGTTGCTAGTGACTGTATCATATTACAGACTGTTGTCCAGTCTTAAAAGTTTAACTTGTTTCTTGCTGTTGAACCAATGAATGAACTAACCAATGAACTGATCTATTCTAAATAAATAAGTAGATGCTATCCATTGGTCTCTTGGAGATCCCAATATTTATTTTATTTATTATTTATTAAAACATTTTTATGCCATGGGATAAAGGATGAAAAATATCTACACACACACACATGCACATATGGTGTGTACTCCCTCTGTCACATTCTCCTGGATCCTCAAGAGCTAGGACAGACACCACAAACAGTAAACAGCAAGAAAAATAGCAGAAGAGCCGGTGGTCATAAGCTGGGAGTCAGGGCAACCTGCTGGGTAGCAAAAAATGGTAGACAAATGGCAGCATTATAAGAGATCATAGGATAGAGATGACTTGTGTTCCTCAGCCAAGGGGTAAGTCAGTGTTGAAGCAACAAGAGCATGGGAATGACCCTCATTTCGCAAGCAAGCAAGGACAGACCATGGCATGAAGAAGAGTAAGAAGAGAGCTGTCCACTTGGATTCTGTAACTCCTGGTGCTGAACCTTGCCAGCAGTCCTGCTCTCATTGCTGTGCTCTGTTCTAGAGTTTTGCACCACTGAGCTAGGGTGGAAGACAGAAGCCCAATCACTCTAGAACTCTTCTTTGACCTGCATAAGGCAGCCCTTTATGGTTCTAACAGCTCCACTTTCCTACAGGCTGTTTTGTTTTTCCTTGCTCTCACAGAAGTCAAAGCAGCAATGAAAGTAGCTTCTGGTCTAAGCCACCCATATGAACAAACATTAAAACGCAGCAAAGTATCCCTTGACTGCTCTGGAAAAGGCCATGCTCACACAGTTCAAATCAGAATGAAGTTTAAAGGTCAAAGAAAATGTTCCCAGAATAGCAGGACATTGCTACTATGTCCTCTCACACTATATTCTGCTCTTTTTAAAGACTATTGATGAAACGAAGAAGGTGACTTTACTATAGACTGAGCGCATGGTACATAAAGAAATGGCACAACCCTCAACTGTGTGGCCATCCCAAAATTTAGTTTGTGTATGTTTTGGACTGAGTATTATTCTTGGACTGTCTTAAGTGTGGGTTACTGCATGGTGTGTGTTACTGGACCTGAACTAGCAACCTTCCAGGTCCATTGGGTGTTACATCTCCAAGTCGGTCACTCAGAAGAGCAAGCAAACAGAGTATTTTTGTCCTCTTCTGGCTCTACCCCTAAGATAGTGCACTAACTTTCTTTGATTTGGCCTCACTGTAAATGTTTCCAGGTCCAATCAGGGTCTTTGCCCAAAGAGAATTCTAATTTAGGCCTTGTCTGCATCGGCTTTCTTGCCTTGACCTTCATTCTGCTGCCAGTCACCTCCACTCTTGAGGTGATCCACTCTTTGGACAAGTACTGGGTGTTTACACTACAGGTTTTATACAGCAATTTGGGCAGAGTGACAAGGTTCTGTCCCTGTTGTTGAGCATCAGGTTTGGTATCCCAGGTTAAGGTACTGTAACTAAAGCAGGCCAAGAAGAATGGCACTATGATGTTTTCATAAAAGTACTATTGTAAAACCAGGATTTTAGAAGTAGATTTGTATGCCATTTTCTACTAAGAAAAGGTACTCAAGGTAACTTACAATAATAGATGAATAAGAACATAATTAAAACAGTAATATAACTAATACAGTAAAACCACAGTAAAAAACACAGCAATATCATAAAAAATAGCACCCAACCATAGAGACAAGCCTAGATGTCAAAAGCCTGCTCAGATAGAAACAGCAAAGATGGACCCTACCTCAGCCTCGGTCAACAAGGAATATCCAGCCTGGGAGCAGTCACTAAGAAGGTCCTTCTTGTGTGGCCACCAAACACTGGAGGTAGAGGTACCCAAAGATCTGCAGGTAGAGGTACCAAAAGGAGGCCCCTTCCTGAAGCTCTTCAGATCCGAGTAAGCTCATATGGGGGGTGGCAGTCTTTCAAGTAGCCGAGTCCGAAGCCATATAGGGTTTTATAGGAAACAACCAGCACTCTGAACTGTGCCCAGAAGCAGACTGCTACCTAGTGAGACTGTTGTAACAAGGAAATCAGGTCTGGCCTTAGATAGCCCAGTTTGCTTGCCACATTAGCTTTAGCTGCTCAAGCGCTCTCCTGGCCACTGCCGAAACTTGGGTACGCAAGAAAACTCCACCAAATGTTGTTTCATCGGATGCATTTCTAAGAAATGGAAGCATTATTTTAAGCTACTCTTGCAACCTTACAAACAGAAGCGCTGGCTTTTATTGCAAGGAACACAAAATCTGATTTGCCACAGAAATGGCTTTGGAGTGCATCTGAGTATTGCTAAGACTTAAATCTGATGGCTGCAACCTTAAATCATGGGCATCTTTGAGCATTCTTCTCACAGTCTGCCAATACCATTCTAGAATCCTAGGCATGCATTTAAACACAACATCTTTTTCAGTACTAATGATAAACAGAATACATGCCTAATTTAATGTAGTCGTGGCTGGCCACTCAACACTTCAATTTTCCACATTATTTGCAGGCTTTGCTGCAATGCTGAGAATTGCTTTGTATGCTCGGCAAGCACACAAATATTCTGAAAAGATGCTTAAAATGCTACATATTGGCTTTGAGGGAAAAAAAGGAACACTAACCTGGTGAAGAATGCAGCACTGCTCATGAAGGTGATTTCATCTGCTAAATCCATCGCCTCTGAACGTACACTGTCTGCTAAATGGATGCTAACCCGGGGAATTCCATCTGACAGTCTTGGCTGCGGCACTAAATGTGCCAAAGATCCTTCTTGTTTGGACTTTGCGATCTGGAGAAACAAAGTAAAAAGATATATGAAGCTGATAAGGGGCAAAGCAACCTTCCCAGCACCTTTGCAGCAGGCAGGGTTTTATTTTTAATGAAAAAATACACTGGATCCATAGCAAAGAATGAGTCAGCAATCCCCCCCCCCAAATGAACAAAAATCCAAACCTCCTGCTAGAAGGTAAATGTAAACGCAGGAAACTGTAATATGAAGCATCAAGCAGGAGCTGACAGCACATTTTAAAAATCAATCTGGTTATTTTATCAGCTAGGTAACTTCACAGTAGGCTGAACTAAGGCTTTTGGTATACTCTCTTTCCACCAAAGAAACAACCACATCATGGCAATCTTCCCCAAATACATAGATGTATGTTTTTAAAAGATGATTATGTAGTTGGTAACATACATGTTGCTGAGTGTGCCATTACAGAAATAATAGCATACAATTAGAGCTGTGAGCTATTATTTACATTATGTAAACAGGAAAATATCCAACTCAGCCGTGGTGATTCAGCTTATCTATGGCATTGTAGCAGGTAATTCTGTTAAACAGTTTGATCTATAGAAATGTTTTATGTCCATATTTAGACAATTTTTAAAAAATATCACAGCTCTTCCTATACAAGCTGGTGTGTATGACAGTGAATGCCAAAAGATACTGGTATTTCATTCATTACTTTGATATCCCATTTTCCCTCCAAGGTGCTATATCATATTCTGTTGCCATCCCCACAATTTATCCTCATCATTACCTAGTGATGTTGAGGGACAGTGACTGGCCCAAGATCCATGGCTTGACTGGGAATCTAAACCTGAGCCTCCTCAGTCCCAGACCAACATTAGCCCATGAGACAGGGCTCACGTCCAGTGTCCACAAGCAGTTGACTCCAATCGCACACTGAACATGGAAGTCATGCTTGTTGGAAGCTCCATCTGCATCCAGTGACTCATGGACTTGTTGTTCCAAATTCTTGGGGCTTGCTGACCATTCAACAAGCTCAAATCAGGGTGACTGGACATGCAGGCAGGGGGTGGGGGAAGTACCACAACTAAGGGCACAAAGCAGGACTGGCCTTTGTGTAACAACTAGCAAAGATCCCATTCGACTTGCTGATGCCACGTCTTGCCTGTCACTTGGGAAACAGTCTACCTCAGAACCTCGACAGGTCTCTGTAACACATCCAGAAGCCAATGTGTTCATGCAGCATTGACATTCTGATGTTGCACTGCAAAAGAGCACCACTTTTTTTTGCTCATTTATCAGATATTGTCAAAGATGGTGCAGAATCGAACTTGCAACTCAACTATGTGATGAGTTGTTGACTCTGGGCCTTGAAGCTTGTGGTGTAACACACTTGTGTTTATCTTTTGGTGTTTATACCATAATAATGGCACCTTATTTCCTTTGCTGATGTGTGCAACATATACACATCCTTGCAAAGTGGTCATCCCAAAGGATTTTGAGGAAGCTGTACAGTCTAAAAGGGGTAAGCAATTCCATGGCCTTTAAATGTTTTGGGCTATAACCTCATTAAGCCCAGCCATCATGGTCAATGGTGATTGATGATGGGAGTTGGATGCTAAACTTCTGAAGGAAACTAGGTTGTCTACCTCTGGTCTAAATGTTGTGAACCAGGGTTGGTGCAAACAACCACTTCAGTGTGATAGAACCTGGGCTGAAACAAGTCCCTGAGTGAAAATCTTAGCGCATTCTAAAGTGTAATGAAACGAGTTTGAACATAAATTCTATGCCCTGGAAAGAAAATGTTTATTATGAATACTTCTCTCCTTCAAAGCAATAAAAGATCCAAGGAAGTTTAGAAAAATAATACACATATGTATCAAACACAAAAAATAAGAAGTTTAAGAGCAGATGTATAAACAGAAAACAATTGCAGACTTGCCACTGATCTGAGCCGTTCAGGGAACTTGCTTCCTACCAAAAATGCCACTTTGGACAGATTGCAAGCCCAGCTCTGCAATTTTGAAGCATTTCATTGCAACTATTGTTCAGAATATTGACCTCCAGACTTGTGTTCAAAGCCATCAAGGAGTTCAAAGTTGTTCAGGAGCCGTTGCTATCAACTGGTTATGTCTTTGTAGAAGGCAATCATATCAGTGAAGTCCCCTTTAAGTATCTGAACATTAGCTTGGATCAGTATCTGCTGCGATCTCACCAAGAATGATATCAAAGTACAAATGGGAAGGACACAACTAAAGGCTGCAGTTTAGATATGTCAGGAATCAGCATTCCACACAATCTCTGTATACAGACTCCCTTTCTGGCAACACAGCCAAAGTACAGAGGCTGCAAACAGTAAAAAGTCTTGTTGCTCCTTCGAGAAGCCTTCTTGAACCTGGTAGCCTCCAGATGCTTCCGACTTCAATAGCCATCAGTTCCAGTCAACATGGCTAAACATCAGGGATTCCTGGGAGGTGCAACCAAAACATCTGGAAGGCGTCAAGCTGGAGGAGACTTTCTTAAAGACTATAAAATGAACGAAGGCATAAGCCTTTTGGGAAGTGCTTCATGAAAGCAGACTGTAGTCCACGAAAGCTCATGCCATAATATTTTTGTTAGTTTTTAAGAGTGTTGTTCAGCCTAACAGTCTGTCCCTCTGCTAACAGAAAGTTCCTTAAGCAGAAGAAACTGAAACCTAAAATGGAAAAATGAGGAAGCAGAGGTTTCTTTCACATACTGAAAGGTGGATCATCTTCAGAGGCTGGAGGGAGTTGTAGACTCCAACTCTGAAGAGCTGTGTACAAACTCCTTTAGCTTAGGTGGCATGCCAGCATATACCAGTTGCTGAGGAGCCTGGGCAGGTGGAGGCCTTGCATCCAGCTAATTCACCATTATGGCTGCCCTTTTCTATACCTTTTCCAGCTCCACAGTAACTTTTCTGAGACGCAGTGACCAGAACTGTGCACAGTATTCCAAGTGTGGTCACAACCCCAATTTCTGTAAAGGAATTTGCATTCTAATATTGACAGTTCTATTTTCAATTCCCAGTCCGGAGTTCGTCTTTTTCACTGCAGCCCCACAGCTTCTTCATTGCACTATCTGCCACAACTCCAACCAGCTAAGACCCCATCACCAAATGGGTGACATTCCCAATATGCATTACCTTATGCATGCTTACATTGAACTGCACCTGCCATTTTAATATCAATTTCCCACTTTCCCCAATTTTCCCACTTCAGAGAGACCCTTTTGGAGTTTTCCACTTTCCCTTTCTATTTAACTGCCCTAAATAATTTGGTGTTGTCAGATGCCTGGCCACCTCACTGCTTGCCCGTAACTCTGGATCATTTGTGAACAAGTTAAAAAGCCCCAGTTCTAGCACAGATCCTTGGGAGATGCCACTGATTACATCCCTCCATTCTGAGACCTGGCCAGGCTATCCCATGATCCTCCCTCTTTTCTTTAAACAGTTACCTGTCCAGGCGAAGGATGCAGTCATGGCAGTCACCTGGGCTAGTCCTGCCTCCCTTCATCAGTGCTTTCAGAGCATGCAGAAAGCTCCTTCAAGGAAGGGGAAACCACAGCACAATCCATGTCCCCACCAAGTGGATTTCTGCCTGTGTGCATTTGGTATGATACCTTTCTGATGTGCACGGAGCAGGCAGGTGGTGGGTTTGTGTGGTCAGTGTGTATATCAAGGAACACTGAACCTCTCTGAGCCCAGAGGCTGATTTTGATTTTGGAGAAGCTCTACCAAGCAAACAGAGGGCAGGTGAAAGACTGTGTGGCCACCTGAAGAATCCCTCTGCTTGGAGCTTGGGTCTCCTGGGCCAACCATAGGCCCCTCCATGCATTGCTTTAATCAGCTGCAAAGTTCATTGGAAGCACACTTACGGATAACCTCATAGGACCCTTCTGAAGGAGGAGCGAAACCAGTGCTCCCTATCCTCACTCCAACGCCTGGTGGAGCATGCGGTGGGCAATGGCCAGCTGACCAGAAGCTCTGCTGCTGCAGCCAGAACAATGTGGAACTGGCAGCAGACGCTAACAAGTCAGCCAGGAAGCAACTGCAGGAAACTTTGCTCCTCCAATTTCAGCCCTTCAATCTTTAGCACAGCTTGTTGTAGGAAAACTGTGCTTCACCAAAGTGAATCTCGAAACAAACACATGCTTATTTTTAGAACTATAAACCAAGGATAAGCATGCACTGTTTTAAAAATGCCCCCTCCCAAAAAAGATATTGAAGGACAGGCTGAAAAACAGCAACAAGGCCAACATACGATGGCCCCTGTTACTATCTCGTGGCTGCAAAGCTTCTCACTGAAAATCTCCAACCCTCAGGCTCTACTTGCTCAGCGTATAACCTTGGTACAATTAATGTGTTGTGGCTGGACTGTTCTGTAACCCCACGCATACAAGTCAAGAGAACATCAGGGATAGGAGAAGCTTAAACAACGGCAGATATTTAGCAGCTAAGATCCCTTTGGCCTGGACCGCTGCCAGAGTTCTAAACTGAGCATAACTGAACATAGTTCCCTTTAATTAACGTATACGCTGCCTCTTCATCAAGGTTTAGAGGAATGGCTTGGTGGTGGTGGTAGGGATACGCCTATGACCATCTTTGTCACTTGAGACCCAGGTGGCCTGGGTGGCCAGCAGTGTTTTTTGTCTGCTTTGGCTGATAGGCCACATGGGACCTTACTTGGATAGAGACCGTCTGGCAACAGTTAACCACACCTTGGGAACCTCCCATTTGGGTGACTGCAATACATTATACTTGGGGAACCCTCGAAGATGGACTGGAAGCGACAGTAAGCTTGAAACGGATTATACCAGCATACCAGCTTCCAGTTCATTTAAGAATCTGACTTGAAGGGTTGACCTTCCAGGCTTTCAATGTCTTTGGAACACAGTCCCTAAAATGGGCTAATATGGTGCTTGGGCATTCCCCACTCCGTGCTTCCGCCATACCCGAAATCCTGGGAAACTGGGCCAATAGCACAGCCTCCTTCCCAGCAATATTGGTGTTCCTGCAGAGAAGC